TATGAAATTTTCAGTCTTAATAACTTGAAAGTTCAAATCTTGCGTGACAGCTTGTATGTATATTAAAATTATTATAATGTAAACAATTTCAGAAAGCATTTTATGTTTTGAAAAAGCAAGAAAGAAAATAATATAATCCATAAAAATTTCATATTGTTATCATTTACTACATTGCTTTTTGAATTGCCTACTGAAATCGCAGCATTTGTAGAGTTATATTGTTACAGAAACAACAAAAATTGCATTCATCATCTTATTACAATATCAGAAGTTTCTATCGTACAAGATGTTACAAGATTATTCATTAACCCTACACAGATAATGCTAAACATCTCAGTAGTTTACTTGTTGTTTGGTATACTAAATCAAGCATTATTTAAATGAGCCTCGATAGAAATAATAGCGGACATTAAAATACACAGTCCTCATAATATAACAATATGGGTTTGTAATTGTTATTTATCGATGTGATCTCAGACAAAAAAAATGTAAGTACCTACGACCTTGATCGATTTTTAGAGGCAGCACTTTGGTGAACTCATTCGTGATGGCATAACCTTAGTCCTATATCTACATAGTATAAAAATAGAAATCAGCGTTTAACAGGTAATGAATAATGCATTTGGATGTCTTTCAGAATTATTCCCGAAGACATTTTTAGCCATAAAAGGTATGTTGTTAACGTTTCACGAACCGAGGATTCCCATTCAGAGCCAAATGCTTATGATTTGATCGTCTTGGTTATAAACGAAAACATTTAAAAAATATGTTCTATTTACTTTTATACCTACTTATATATTAAAATAAAAATTACTCGGATGAACTTGAAATTTAAATATTCGTTCGATCCATTTATTGTCGTATTGTGAACACACTCGGAACGACTTAAGATCCCCACAAAAAAGTTAATAAAAAATAATTTTTATAATGCACACGATATTATACTAAACACAACTACTATATCTATAATAAACTAATCTAATTTTCAAACGTGTTTAACAACCAACATAAATTATTGGTAAATAATACCTAAGAATTATTTTAAAATCGATAAATGTAGAGTAGATTTTAGGTAAGACTATATATTATTATCTTAATAGTTGGACTCAAGTCGGTAGTTAACTGTTCGTATTTAATTTAATATTAGAATAATAATGTGTTATTACAGTTTTTTTCGAACGAAAATGACATTATTTAGTTTTGACTTTTGTGTTTACGTTTTAAGATTGTTTATTATAAAAATAAAGTTAAAAATTTCATCAAACCACTTTCATACATACTTTTTGATAAAACATTTTTGGAGAGAACCCAAATTATTCTTGGTCTAATTAATTGGATTTTTTTAACTTAATAAAAACATTTTAAAAATGTAAATAAGTATTTAAACAAAAATATGTGAAGAAGACATTAAATTTGAACTTTTCTGCTACTAGTTAAGATTTTATCTTCAGAATAAATATCTATAGATGTCCATAGACATTATTTATCCTATTTTTTGGCTACATATAAATACTTTTCATAGATACTCGAACAATATTTATAAAATAACTGACTGTTTTTCATGTAATTATTATGATTTCAATTCATTTAATTTTTTGATGAAGCAGTATACAAATAAATAAATTATGTATCTCTGTATTTCATTACATATGTTGCTTATTAAGATGAAAATAAAATTTCAATTTTTAACACGTGGATTTAACAATACTAACACAATTTAACCATGTTGAAAAGTTATGTACTGCAATTACAATTATTATTACGATTATTAGTTCAAAAATATTTTCATTAAAAATCCTTTATATTTATATTCAAATTGCACTTATACCTAAATTAAATAATATATTATTATTTTATTTAAATCGTTATAATTACGCATACAGATGCCAGTGGTAGCAGTGACAAAATCAAAACTATCACATTAAATTTGACTAATAGAGGATAAAAAAAATATCTTAATTATATTATGTTATCCCCTATAAATCAAACCTCCGTCTGGCTAAATTGAATTTACTGTTCAGATGTTTACAAATTTTAGATGACAGTTTTACTTAAATTGGACCATTTTAATGGCAAGTTAAGTTGATTATACTGCATTAAAAATGTTCAAGGAACGTAATTATTTGTGACACTATTATTACATATAATTCTGTTATTCCATCAGATCAACTAACTTAACATTTTTTTTTTTTTAATATATAGGTGGATAAATATTATTATTATTCAAGATGTTACATAGAATTAAGGTAAAAAATGTAAGTATTATTGATTGTTAAATTTTCCAAATCGAATTTATTAATCCTCATCAATATATTTTATTCGAAAACATTTTTAAAAAATCCGACCATAAAGTTGAATAAATCCACTTTTACCTATATTATAATAATTGTAATATTTGTGGAAAATATGTTTACTACGAATACATTTTTTAATTTCTATTAATTTGAAAGGTCAGAAACTATAAAATGTTTGTATTAAAAAAAAATCATTCTTGTATCACTTAACTCAAATATAGATTACACAACGTACTAAATAGTGTATCAACTGCGATGGCACTTCTAAGCACAGTTTTAGTATTATAATACTGACTACTTTAAAAGTATTAAACTAAAAGCTATTTAAAAATAAAAAATTATTATATGATTATGAAAATGAATACTCATAGTTTTGTTTTTTAAGGGGGAGCAGGAGATATTTTTAAATTGGCTTTTCTGCGCTAACTCTACATTTTCGTATTATCTTTCCCACGATGAATATATATGATAACAAAATACCTTCGACGACTCGTAATTCTGCAGTTTCAGTTGCCACTCCACGAGTATTACTTGAATTTGAGGTGATCAAAAGGTTAAAGGAAGCGGCCGTTTTTGGAGTCCACATATTATGTGATTTACAAAAAAAAAATTATATTTTTATAAATAGTTTAGTGGTACACTTAGTGTGATATATTTATACCTTTTTTCATAAACATTAGAGTTATTACATAATGTAAAAAAAAAAACAAAAACTAATTTGATATAAAATTAATACAATTACAGTCATTATAATATTAGTAATCCAATGGTCACGTCATCGAGGCTTTCTTCTTTAATAAAAAAATAATAATAATAAAAATAATATAAAGTTATAGTATTTGACGTCCACCATAATGGACACACACCAACTGATGTGGTAACAACTATTGTGGCAACATAATATTAGTAGCGATAATAATATGTAACCATGCTAAATATTGAATGATGGTATCTACTATCTACTATAATTGTTTTAATACTTTGTTATTCAATACTCTAACCTATTTTTTTTTTTAATACATGATAAATACAATGAAGATAAATAAGGATTTCCTTCGAGATTTAAAATGTTTAAAACTTTTTCTAACAATTCCCACTAACGCAACAGGAACACAGTATCGATCGTATATTGTGAAAGTAGTTTTTGATGTTTATGGAGCCTGAAAACTTAGAACCGCTATGGGCCAAGAACATCGACTTATTATTATAATATAGTTTGGCTCTACTACAAATCGAAAAAAAAATGATCTTATTGACAGAGAAAAAGTTGTCAACCAGTTCAATAGATATGTCTGTGCAGTTTCTAGGCGTCGCATAGCTTAACTTTAGTATGATAATATTATAGTTATTTATACATATTATTCTATACTCGCATATCATTTAAAATTTGAAAATTTAATTATTTATAATTTTTTCATTTTTGTTCACAACAATATTGTATTTACGCGTAAAATATTATGCACAATCTAAATTGAAAAATATTTTAAATAATATTGAAACAATTGCATTGTCACATTAAGCATAATGATAAGGAATAAACTATTTTTGAAAAAAGAAGATTGTCAGCGATCGAAGGGAAACGCGTGGTCATTCACAAATATATTACTCAATTCTTTTTTTTATATACGTCAAAAACAGTTTTCAAAAATATAAAATTGTATAAGTAGGTAGTAATTAAAAAAAAAATGTTCTTAATTTAATATCACGAAAAATTACTAAATGATAAATTGGTATTCTAATAATTGATAACAATATGGTAAAGTTTATAAAATTTGAGTTGTGAACTAAATTGTTCGAGCATAGATGATAGTCTTTAATCTTTATTATCAATGATTATACGTGATAATATAGAACAAAATTATACAATACTGTCGTAAAAACGTATTGTTGTATTTTTTTTACAGTTAAAGTTGAAAGATAGACCACCCATCACAGGCGTAACTAGGCCTCTATAACGTGGAGTGCTGTAACTGTAAATGCCTCACAGATTCTCCACACACTCATTACTTCTAAATTAAATAATCTTATAAATTATAAACCCATACAATAACCGATCGAAATTGTATACACATTTTAACACACTTCATATAAATAATAAAGCATAATAGGTATATTATACTTATAAAACTCTTTTTACTCATAATATATTAAAGTGTGACTATGAAATTATGATAATTAAATAAAATTTAAGAAGGTTTATTGTTAAATGTAATACACTGCCCACCACAGCGTTAATTTACACTCAGCTTTTTGATGTGACCCATTGGCTTATAATTACTCGTAACCAATTCATTTCTCGGTAATGTGCATCTTAATGCTAAATCTTCTAACAATTATAACTTATAAGAAGATTTGATAGTTTATAACGAATTGATATTATGACTAAAGTCATACGCACCATAGTTATGAACAAAGTTTTTTTTAATTGTTTGCCGGTAAATATTTAATAATTTAAAAACATAAAATTGATGGTATTTCACTATGATAATAAAATTTAGACGTACTTATACCTAAAAAAAAAAAAAAAAACAAGAGGCGCTAAATTTGGACCCGGAGGTGCTTAAGATTCCTTTGCACCAACGGGGCCCACTAAGTTTATGGTGTCCCGGGGCCCAATTGGTCATTATTCCGGCCTCGGGTTTTCACACCTGATGCTGAAATTTGATGGAATTAAGGCAACGCGTCTTATAACGGTGTATTATATACCTGTGTGGTCGTGTGCGATGCGTCGCAATCGGACATCGGATGATGACGGCGGCGGCGGCGGCGGTGTCCACACGCTCGTCTGTCGTGGCCGACACGACGTGTGTGCGGCGGCGTGGTCGCGTTTTATGAGGCCGGCGACGACGGACGACCACCAGTGCACCGGTGCGCCGCTGTCGACGCGTTGTCGTCGAATGATAACAATAGAAAAACGACGTCGGCGGCTGCGGTGGCGGTGGTGACGTTAGCGGTGGCGTTAGTGGTGGCGACGGTGGTGGTGGCGACGGTGACGGTGGCTGTGGCAGGACACCGCATCCTTTGCGGCGATACACACGTGACTGTGCCGGGCGCGCAGGATGCGACCGGCGAACGTTTCGGCGCGCATGGCCACGCGGACCGACTACGACGCCGCCGCCGCCGCCGCCGAGACAGCGATACGTCGCGTCGTCTGCTTCTGTCGCGACCGTGGTAACTGGTAAGTAATAATAGTAATACGTGCATGTGATTTGGCGATGGATTTATGTTATGTAAGTGCATGTCAATAATTATATTATAATTATATTATATTATATATTTTGTATGCACCCTATTATATTATATTTATTTTACCGTTTAAAGAACCTAACAAACGGTCGCCTGTAACGTCAAAGGTTTTATAACCGAGTTAATTGACTTGAAATTAATAAGGTTCAACAAAACCCACGTAAGGTTGATGCTAATTTTTATCGTTTGTTACGACTTTCTTATATTGCTTAGGTATTATAAATTAACTTTATATATTTTGGTTTTGTTTATCAACCTGTTACATTTAATTTAAGTCTAATTTCATCTGTTATTACAAACTGGGATTTGGCCCGTTTTATTCAAACGAATAAATTATTGTTATTATTATTGTTATGACGTATGGTCATAACAATAATGTGTTGTAATGACGTTTGTTTTTGGTAAATTTAGACAAATAGCATATCTACAGTAATAACCATGAAATATACGGTCTATATAATCGATAGTTTATGATAGTAATAAATTTCAAGATAACGAAAAATATTAAACCACCAGTGTCAAATTATATGGCTATCAATAATATAAGCTCAAAACTAAACTTTAAAAAACGAAAAACGAAAAAACTACACAATTTTTATAAAAAAAAAAACAAACACATTAGGTACGAGCACAAACAAAAATAACAGATTTTTTAATATGCAACGATTATACTGTTAACTTTTTACTGAAGTACATAGTTTGGTGATTTAAATATAATAACAAAATGTATGGGTACTATTTTATAATATGTTTTTTCTAAATTTCAATTGTCATGACGAGAGACCGGATTTTTATGTTTTCGCATCTTTAGTATTTAGATTTTTTTACTTATGACTGATACACAACATTTTTTAGAGAATTTTATGCAAAAAACATGTATTAGGAATATATTGGCATATTACAATTTAATTTTGAATGTTTCATAAAAAATCTAATGGCTTATAAAGAAATAAAAAAATATTTTCATTATATTATCATATACGAAAATATCATGACAAAATGACAAAGCAATACTGATAAGAAATTAAGAACATAGCATTGATAATAAAATCAACTAGGTATTAGAAATTAGAATATTATGGATTAAATATGACCGTTTGAATATTTTTTTAAAAATTAGGATTAAACTACCTTATAATTTGTATGGACTGCTTTTTTTTCAGAATTTAGTATATATTTTTATGAAAAAAAAATATTTTTTCATATAAAAGATTATTTTTATGAAGTTATAGAGCATAAGAAACATCTTATTTTTAAAAGTTTAAGCACATATAAATCCGATCTTTAGTTATGAATATCGTCGGTTATTATGACCTATTTTTCCGGGTCCATTGAACTTCATTATAAACGATTTCTTCTGTGCTTGCAAATCTAATAACACAATACCTACTGACAAATTCTCCAAATAAATAATATTTACTTTTACTTTTTTACCATTCTTTTGCATGATATTTGTAATTGTTATAGTGCACACTTTATGTTTTAAGCTTACATTTTCTAATTTTCAGCATAGTTTCTTACGTTACCTCGAGTAAAAACTTCCAAACAAAGGTATAATAATGTTGTAAATCTTTTTCCAAAATTAATACCGTTGTAATAATGACATCTGGAGATGGAGATTTTTTTTTAATATTCGGACGCACTTGAGTTCTTAGAATATAATACATCGACTGCATATTATTTATACATTTATAAATAAAATGTTTTTTTCCCACATCAGTAAATGTTGAATGATTATTATAGGTAACTATATTTTTTTTATTATTATTATTGATAAAATTCACTTCAACGAAAATGTTTATCAGCGTAAAGTGGGTTTACATTTTTTTTTTTTTAATTACACATTTATTTAAATTTATTTCTATACCTAAATTATATTATTTTAACGTTTTTCGTGCATATATTATATATATATCACTATATCGAATACGCATATCGTAATATTATTCCACCCTGTCTGTATAATATAGTATAAAATATACAAATATAGATAATATAGTTTTCTCTTCATCGTCATTGATGTTATTGTTGTTGTTTCTGTTGTTGTTGTTGCAGATGTTTTCGTACAGTACGGTGCACGATAATATTGTTATCGTTCCTGAGGTCTTACACGTACGATCGCGTTGCGTCTGGGAGCACACGGAAATATGAAGTGTACTTAGGTCGCTCGACATTAATTTTAATCGTCCACAAGCGGCGGTGAAAGACCACGTTGGGTAACCCGCCCTAACCAGACCGCCTAGATAAAGGGTCTCTAATTTTACTCTTCTTGAAATATTTCAATGAAATCATAAACAATATTTTTTCTTCTTTTAAACGTGATCGGTAAAAGATGATTAGAAATTGTATGCTAATTAGTAATTACCTACACACAGAACTCATTGATAGTAGATAACTTATCAGTTGTCAACCAAGATTTATGAACTTCTAAAATATGTTAATAGTTATAATTTATAAATTAAGTTTATAACTGATAACTGTAAAAATATAAAATATGGTTTATTGGAATTAATTATTGGATTATAGTTGTTAGCTTATAAATCATATCAGAAAAACTAAAATCTCAGGTGATTGAAAATCAACAATCTATTATACAATAATTAAATACAGTACAACAATAGGAACATAACTTATATTGTCTTAAAGTTATTATTGATTTATGAAATTATAAACTTGTTAAGTTATTACACTCTGCACTACTTCAGTTTATAAATTATAATACATATTAGTAGTTTTAAATCATTATCAAACTATTTACAACAAGTAGGTACCTAAAGTAATAAGTAATAAAAAAAAAAACACCAAACATTTTTTTATATGAGTTTTAAAATATGTTACATGTTTTCTTTGTTTTATACTTTCATACAATAAACCAATTTTTAAAAATGTTCACTTGCAAATATTGATGGCTATAAGCTTTTCGATAGAATTAATATTTATTTTTCATAGATTAGAAATGAAATATTCCGAAATAATAAATTTCAAGACATTTTAAAAGCCTAATAATAATAATATAAACATAATACCTATATATTTTATAAGTATAATTGATAAGTGCGTAATTGCAGAAATTTGTTATCCCGGTGGTCCTCGACGGACGAGTTTATTCAAAAGAAAGAATAATGAAAATGAAAACATATTAATGTAATAATAACGCGCGACTCTATTTTATGTACGTTTTCCGTGCTTTCCAACCATAATAGTGATATATACGACCGGTTTTTGTTATGGGTAGAAATCAATAATTTTTCATTACGTTACGTTAGATTATTATTATTTTTATTAAGTATTAGCCGGGTGCCAATATTGATTTTGAAAAATAAATGTACATACTTACAAATTTTGTATACCAATAGCGTTTATTTGATCGATACAATTAAAATACCATAATATTACTGAGCACAGTAATATATTTTATTGCAGCAAACACGATTAATTAATTATAAAAGTAAATGATTTAAAAATTAACTTAATATATTTTGTTGCAATTTAGTTGCACACGTTCGGATAATAATTAATAAACAATTATTATATTGTACTGTTGACTTTACAATATCGCGTGGTCATAAATTGAAACATTTTTTTTCTATATTTTAGTCACTTATAATATTACGATGGGATAAATGGCATTATATAATGTTAGGTTATATAAACACTTTATTATATCAGTTTATACTTCATAAAAAAAATATATGTACATAATATATTCGATAACCAAATTGCAACCATTAAAAAAAAGAATAATGGTTTGCTTATATGTACTTCCAAAATATTAGTATTCATTTTTATGACTTTGGCATAACTGTTAGAGCATTTTATAACTTCGTGTTGTTGATGCATGAATGTAAATTGTCATGAATTGCACTAAGCACTACTACACGGTGTCGTGAAACTGACAATATGATATATTATTATCGTTTTCGTGTTCCTTTAAATAATTCAAACCTTCGTGGCTGTCAACACGAACAATCGTATGCAAATATGCTAATTTACAAGTTACTCAGAGAGCGTTGATAAGGTTTGAAATTAAATTATTACACAGAGTAGTTTTTAATTTTTTTTTTGATTTTAAATAAAAATGTTTTTTCATTGAACGATATTTGATTTATTAATTGATTTAAATTGTTTTCAATTATAGTGGGTGCTTAGTAAACGCGACGCAATAGTGAATTATTCTCATCCGTGACGGAGCAATCGTAGGTTTCTGCTGTCATATATTTTCTATTCTGATTTCAAATTATTAGTAAACTTATTTTCCATTCTGAACGGAACGAATAATCTACAATACTTGCTGGCATGACAATGATTTGATTTTATCGTCACTTTCTGTGGACTTTTTTCTAGACAGGAGTACTTCGGAATAACTTTCATGCAGATCGAAAATTGAGTTTATACATTACTTTGAAGAGGTCATTTTTGGATTTACTCTGCTGCAGTAGTTTCTATAATCGTAGAGCGAATAACTTCTACCAACGAGTAACGACCGACGACCGTCGAAAAACTTTGTAGAAATGTCAACAAGCGCAGTCTTTGCTTATAAACGTTTGCTTTTATTACATTTTTTAGCATACATTTTTTCAACAATTTATTCATTATTGGCACCAGACAGCAGTATAAAGTATACTATTAGGCAAATTATAATATGTACCTATAATATTGTATAGGTAACATATTATTTCATATTTTAAGTTTATCTATTAATTCTTCTATAGATACTTTACACACAACCTAACGATACTTTTGTACATAGATGTTTATTTACTTTTAGATAAAAATATGAAATCTTTCAGAGAAAACAGTTTAAAATAGTATATTTTATTCAATTTTTGTTTTTCATTTGGCTACATAATAAATATAACAAACAACTTTATAATAAGATAGGAATGGACCAAATATTGAT